CCGTTATCTTTCACGGCCACAATCAGGTTCTGTTTCATGCTGTCAGACTCCGAAATGTCCCGCTGGGTCCTGATCTCTCCACTGTGGAGACCAATGGTGAAAAGTCCCGGGTCTGTGGACTTGACAATATGATAGGACAGCCAGGCATTCTGTCCCGAGTCGGCGTCCACCGCAATCACTTTGGACACCACAGAGCCTCCATGTGCAGCTTTGGGGACCAGCTCGGTCATGAATGAGTTGCCCTCCGGGGCTGGGTACAGTATCTGAGGAGAGTTGTCATTCACGTCCGATATGAACACGCTGACGCTCACGTTGCTGCTCAGCGGAGGAGAACCGTTGTCTCGGGCCATGACGTGGACTTGGAAACTCCTCAAGTGTTCGTAATCAAACGACCTGACAGCGTGGATCACCCCCGTGTCTCCATTCACAGACACATAGGAGGACACCGGGGCACCGTTCACTTCAGAAGGTAAAAGAGAATAAATCACAGTGCCGTTCTGTCTCCAGTCGGGGTCTTGAGCACTAACAGAGCATAAAGTGGAGCCAGCTTTGTTATTTTCACTCACATATGCGCTGTAGGACTGCTCCTCAAACACAGGTGGGTTGTCGTTGATGTCCCCGACAGACAAGTGAACACTTTTTGAAGAGGACAGAGGAGGGGAGCCCTCGTCAGTGGCACTGATTGTAATGTTGTAATCAGGCACTCTTCCACGGTCAAGTTGTTCCGTCGTCACCAGAGAATAATAGTTTTTAATAGAAGGAACTAACTTAAAGGGGACATTTTGCTGTATGGAGCAGCGGACCTGTCCGTTCTCCTCAGAGTCTCTGTCCTGCACATTAATGATGCCCACCTCTGTTCCAGTAGGAGTATTTTCTGAAATGGGATTTTTCAAGGACTTAACAAACATCAGCGGGGCATTGTCATTCACATCTGTTATGTCAATGATTAATGTACAAGATGACACCAAGCCGAGGCCATCCTTGGCTGTAATTTGCATTTCATAAGAGGACACCTCCTCATAATCTATGGACCCACTGACACTTACTGCACCAGTTTCTTTGTCAAGAGCAAACACACTATTCGTTTCATCAGAGATGTGATCAAAGTCATACGTTACCTCACTATTGACTCCCTCATCAGCATCAGTTGCACTTACATTAATCACAACTGTATCTGGAGGAGAATTTTCAGGCAGACTGGCTTTATAAATTGCTCGGCTGAACACTGGGGCATTATCATTCGCGTCCAGCACGTTGATGTGTACGACTACTGTCCCCGATCTCTGAGGTGTGCCTCCGTCTTTTGCAATAAGCACAATCATTAGCTCCTGTTCTTGCTCTCTGTCGAGCTCCTTTTCTATTACTAATTCCCCATACTTCCCTCCGGCGCTTTTTGCGACAACGTTTAATTTAAAGTGTTGATTGTTTTCAATGACATAGCTTTGGATTGCATTCTGCCCCACATCTGCGTCGTGGGCCTCGTCTAAACGGTAGCGACCCCCTTTAACTGCAGATTCACTGATCTCCAAATGAATGGTGTCCTTTTTGAACTGAGGTGAATTATCATTAATGTCATGGACGTGAATATTGATCCGATGCAATTCTAAAGGCTCTTCCAAAACAAGCTCCTGCTTCAAAACGCAGGATGGCCTTTTGGCACAAAGCCCCTCTCGGTCAATCCTGTCTGCAACAACAACGTCTCCAGTGTTCAAATTCATGTCAAAATACCGTTTGCTGTTGCCGTCTCCGTCAATGCGAGCCCGTCGAACAGACAGCTGGCCCACTTCTATTCCAATATCTTTGGCTATATTTCCAACAATAGATCCGCGCTTCATCTCCTCTGGAATATAATAAGCCACATCTCCGTGCGCAGTTTGCAGCGACAAAAGAAAGGAGCCCAACAAAGCCGTCAGATCCAACAACGAGAATCCCTTGTTTTTCATTTCCCCGGACAACAAATCCCGAATGAGCCACTAGTGTCTTCAAAAAAAGTAAATAACCGGCAAAAAATATGTCGATTTGTCTTTCACTGGTAACACACGGAAGACGATCGAATGTGCGCCTCCGCCGCATTCGCCAAATTGGGATCAAATAATGAGGAAATGTTGCTGTGAGCGCACAGCTTCATTTCAGTCATTTGGTGGACAGCGCCACTTAGAGCACGTTTTGAATATTACATATAGTTCAATGCTAGGAGACAATTTCACACGCCAAACTTAAAATCATTTTTGTTCAGTGAATAAACGACGACAAGTTCTGTCGAGTTTCCTGCATTGGCACGCAAAAAAAAAAACAAAACACTGCAGGCCAACACTATGGTTTCCAGTTTATATTGACCGTGGAAAAACGAACTTCACCACGTTTGGGAAATATTGTATGTGTATGTCTTCTAAACATCGCAACTGCGTGCGTGGAACGTGATCGAGGCGCCTTATTTCCTGACGTAAAACTAGATGTACTGCTCAATTCGTTGCTCTCGATCATAGACGATACAATGGAAATGGCCAAATGTAAAGCTTATATTGTTATTATTATTGAAACTGTCTTTCATTCGCATGACATGCTCGTCGAAACACATTGTAAATTAATCGGGATTCGCAAATAACGCTCTCGGAATGTAACGTAAGTCAATGACAGCATCAATGGTTTAAAATGAAACGAAATTATTAATTGTCATGCGATTTAGAACAGTAATCACACACTATTGTTGTAAAATTGCGAGCGATAGTTTTCTGACCAATGAACAACATCAGAGGGCGAAAAATGTGCTTTCCAGGTGGAAAACCGCTCAATACGGCAGTGCACACTAAACATGACTTAATGAAACACTGTCCTAAAAAGCACACAAATGTCGAAAAAAATAGCAACTTAAGATTCTACAGTATTTGAAAAGTATCGTTAATTAATTGTTCACTCAAAATGCACAAATTCCGGATGGACAATATTCGTTCAAAAATTTTTTGTATTTTTGTTTTTGTCTTCTCGATGCAAATCAATAATGGTGTGCTGCAATGTGCTTCACAAGCATGCGTTCTATTGCTATTAGGAAGGTCTGAAAGAACATGTAAAATAAGGTATCAGGGGAAACTTTCAGAAATAAATTCCCATATTCAAACAGAGTAATTTTAAATGTCTCTAAAGAGGATATGTCGAGTTTGCTTGGCCTTTGTACATTTCTTTTTGATGTTGGAAAATATGAAACTTCAGTTTTAAAATGTAAAACCATTCAGTAAATGCTTTATTTGCATTTTGTCTCAGTTGACCGACTGTCGGTGTCTATGAAACGTGTCGGAATTTGAGTATATGTAAGGATTCAAGTTGGTAAGGAAGCCTAATGACAAAAATATGATTCTCACACTGGGTCACCGAGAAACAGAAACACCGAAACAGAAACATTCAAAAGCCTTCATACCTCCAAGGGGTCGAACGAATCTTGAAGTTCATCAGTAAAATGACTTGGACTTTTCCTCAGAGTCTGGTCAGCAGGCAGCGTGTTGTCATTGTAAGAAGACACAAACTTGAAGTCACTGGTTCTGGAGCCTGTTGTCAAGTAGGCATCATAGTTGTAGGTGCTGCGTAAAGTTCCTGTGCCGTCAACATCTGCGTAATTAGGAGGGAGATACGCGCCGGGAATGGCGACTGCTCCATCAAACAACAGTCTGGGTTTTCTCCTGCGACAAAACCTCACGCCCAGGACGATGATGATGAAGGTCAGGAAGAAAGTGGACACGGACACCAGCGCGATGATCAGGTAAGAGGTCAACTTGGAATTCTTGTCATCATAAGAAATGTCCTTCAGTTCTGGCACTTCGGCCAGGTTATCCGATATAAGTAAATACATGGAGCAGGTGGCAGAGAGAGGGGGCTGTCCGTTATCTTTCACGGCCACAATCAGGTTCTGTTTCATGCTGTCAGACTCCGAAATGTCCCGCTGAGTCCTGATCTCTCCACTGTGGAGACCAATGGTGAAAAGTCCCTGGTCTGTGGATTTGACAATATGATAGGGCAGCCAGAGGCGTTCTGTCCTGAGTCGCCATCCACTGCGATCACTTTGGACACCACAGAGCCTGCGTGTGCAGCTTTGGGGACCAGCTCGGTCATGAAGGAGTTGCCCTCCGGGGCGGGATACAGTATCTGAGGAGAGTTGTCGTTCACGTCCAATATGAACACGCTGATGCTTACATTGCTGCTCAGCGGAGGAGAACCGTTGTCTCGGGCCATGACGTGGACTTGAAAACTCCTCAAGTGTTCGTAGTCAAACGACCTGACAGCGTGGATCACCCCCGTGTCTCCGTTAACAGACACAAAGGACGACACCGGGGCACCGTTTACTTCAGCAGGTAAAAGAGAATAAATCACGGTGCCATTCTGTCTCCAGTCGGGGTCTCGAGCATTAACAGAACATAAAGTGGAGCCAGCTTTGTTATTTTCACTCACATATGCGCTGTAGGACTGTTCCTCAAACACAGGTGGGTTGTCGTTTATGTCTGCTACAGACAAAAGAACACTTTTTGAAGATGACAGAGGAGGGGAGCCCTCGTCAGTGGTACTGATTGTAATGTTGTAATGTGACACTAATTCACGGTCAAGGTGTCCAGTGGTCACCAGAGAATAATAGTTTTTAACAGAAGGAACTAACTTAAATGGGGCGTTTTGCTGAATGGAGCAGCGGACTTGCCCGTTCTGCTCTGAGTCTCTGTCCTGCACATTGATGAGGCCCACCTCTGTACCAGGCGACGCATTCTCCGATATTGGGTTAGATAGTGACTTTAAATTGATTACAGGAGCGTTATCATTTACATCAGTCAGGTCAATGATTAATGTTGAATACGATACTAAGCCAAGGCCATCTTTAGCACTTATTTGCATGTCATAAGATGAGACCTTCTCGTAATCAACGACACCAGTCACTCTCACTTCTCCGGTTTTGGGATGTAACGTAAAGACATTAATATTGTCATCAGATGCATAGTCAAACGCATATGAGATTTCGCTGTTTATTCCTTCATCTGCATCACTTGCACTCACTGTGACCACCAAAGTGTCAAGAGGAGAGTTTTCAGGCAGACTGGCTTTATAGACAGGCTGACTAAACACTGGAGCGTTATCATTCGCATCCAGCACAGTGACGTGGATGACCACTGTGCCGGATCTCTGAGGCGAGCCGCCATCATATGCCGTCAGCAAAAGCATGATGTCCTTTTTATTTTCTCGATCTAGTTCTTTGTCCAAGATCAATTCGCAATACTTTCTTCCACCTGGTTTAGTATTTGAATTTAATTTAAAATGATCATTCTCCTGTAAAGTATAGCTTTGAACAGCATTTTCTCCAATGTCTCCATCATGTGCTTCTCCAAGGAGAAAACGAGCACCCCTGTCTGCCGATTCTCGAATTTCTAATTTGAGCTGGTCTTCATTAAACTGTGGTGAGTTATCATTGATATCTAGAACACGGATGCTTACACGGTGCAGTTCGAATGGGTTTTCAAGGACAAGTTCCCGTTTTAAAACACACGATGCCTTTTTACCGCAAAGTCCCTCTCTGTCGATCCTTTCCTGAACAAGCAAGTCACCCGTGTTGAGGTTGATTCCGCAGAGCTGCACGTTGTCATCCTCGGGATCAATGCGTGCTTTACGAGCAGATAACTGGCCCACATTTAGTCTCAAATCCTTGGCGATATTCCCGATCACAGATCCACGTTTCATCTCCTCTGGAATAGAGTAGCTCACGTCTCCCTCGATGGTGCGGATGAAAAGGACAAGAAAAGCGAGGCCGTAGCCAAACGACGGAAATCTTTTGTCCTCCATTCCACTTCAAATATGCGTGAGAATCACTTCCAACGTGAAACAAGATGGACAGCGGTGTCTTTTTGATTGTTCCTTGGAATATCCCCACCTTCCGACTCAGCACTTGCAGACATTTAGACCAGAGCTGCGCCAAATTAAAAACTGGTGTGCGTGTCGACGTGAATGGGTGGGAAACTGCGCAGCTTTTGTTCATGAGTGCATACTGACCTCTAGAGTGCATTTATCGACATAGCACCCAATTGTTGTTTATAAATACGAAAGAATAATCGTAAACATGGGTATAAACTGTTCAAATATACAGAAATATTGGATAGGTTTTCAGAAGCATTACACGTGAATAAAAGGAGGCACATTTCAATATTAAAGTAAACTTCAACTAACTACTAATATTGTAATGTGCTGGTTGATTTTCTAAACTACAAAACAGAAATCGGAGAAAAAGCTGTCAGTGAAAAGTTCCACTGATTCCAGCACCATGGACAGCGATTGATTCAGTGGTGTTCAAAACAACAGGCCTGATTTATCAATGGAAGCAAAAAGTAAACGCCATTGAAAAAGATTCCTTTAAAGTAAAGTCTGTGATTATAACGGAAACGCTATAATGACAAATCCTACATTATTTGTACAGGAAATGTAACAGGCGATTCCTATCAATTGTGACACATGATGTCTGCACTTAATTAAATGTATGCCAATATATTCTGTGGAGAGGTTTGGAGAAATCATATTTTGACGAATGCAGCGTGCGAAGTGCCTATCGAACGCGACAAAAATGGAATCATCCGAATCTGCACATTTTTTCAAAGAAACTTTACCTTTGGGTTTTCTGTTCGTCTGGAGAGACATTAGTTGCCCCCGTGTAAAGCAAGTAAATATAATCCCTACGATTGTTCCAACAGCTAGTCGTTAGATATTCCATAAAATCTATCTCTTCTCAAAATACGATTGCAGTAGTTTACTGGGTTCAAATCAAACACACACGCACACACACACACACACACACACACACACACACACACACACACACACACACACACACACACACACACACACACACACACACAAGCAACGTGGGTGAATTGTGTGTGTGAAATCAATGTCATTTATTCGTGTTGCTCGTAACTTTAAAACAAGTTTTAGTAAGTAGCTGTTGCTTTGTTCATCAAGGGGGAGCGATTTGTTTTTCCATTTATTTATTTATTTTTAAGTGCCGTTACGGCCTGCGATATTTTAGTCGCCGTTAAATTGTGTCATCATCGTGTTGTGGTGTTGATGTATGTGTGCCGGTGCTGGCCCGCGTACACGACTCAACACACTAATCGGTGCCAAGGAAGAAGCCAGATCACCAATGGGATGACAGGAAGGCCACCAGCTGAAATGAATGCCACCATTGCTTAAAAATGATTTTGTTTCCTTTAGACAGGGGATAGCTGTCAATTATTATGTGCTGTCAAATACTTCTTGTGTATTTCCAGCCACTGTCTTTAGTTTGCAATGCATCTTTTTTGTTTTTGTTGTGACTCGTTGGTTTTGTTGGTATGTACTGATATTAGACAGGCGCTGGCAGAAAGTCGGTATTTGTTAGTTGGAGTTATCGTGTTGTGCAGTGCTTTGCTCCCAGGATCATGGGAACTCGTTGCTATGTATATGCCGAAATACATGATTAAAATAACAGTTTTGTTCCCATCCACTTTCATGTTAGTCCCTTTCTCTGTTGCAATAATGCAAAAGGGTCGTGCAGTGCATAAGAGGTGTAATATAAATATATAACTACATGCTTACAAGTTTCCAATCTCCACCCCCCCCCCCCACACACACACATTCACACTCACATCTATGACAATTTTGAATCTCACATGCATGTTTTGGCAAGATGTTAGAAAGGCAGATCATCCTGAGGAAAAAAAAAGAAACCCAAGTACAGGAGGAAGAGCAAACTCCACAAAGGAAGGACACTGCCTACAGATATAAATATCCAGCCGAAAACCCGTGAGACGTACTGAAACCCTAAATTTTACTCAAGACTTAAAATTAAATGATCTGAATGTTTCTTGCCTCTTTCATCAACTACATCAATTAAGCAGCATCCATCCATCTTTCCATCCGTTTTTTTAATCCGCTTATCCTTTCAAGGGTCGCGGGCATTCCGAAGCCAAAATCCCAGCTGTCTTCAGGCAGTAGGAGGATGACACTCTGAACTGGCTGCCAGCCAATTGCAGGGCACACATAAATGAAAAACCATCCGTGCTCACAATCACACCAAGGGACAAGTTAGAGCGTTCCATTAACCTGCCATGCATGTTTTTACAATGTCGGAGGAGCCAGAGTACCCAGAGAAAACCAATGCCAGCACAGGGAGAACATACAAACTCCACACAGGACGTCCGGAGGTGAAATTGAACTCTGCACCTCTGCACTACGAGACCGACATGTTAACCAGTCGACCACCAAGCAGCATCCATTCCAAGAAAAGATTCCAAATGGTTTGGTGTCAGAACGTGGATGTAAACTGTTGAAACAATACAATAATAGACCAAAAGCTGATACATCTTTTTTTTGTTTGATATCTAAATTCTATGTCAGAGCTGTTTGTAGATAAGGTATGTGTTAAAAAAAAAAAAATTGGTTACTATCCAACAATACACTTCTCAAAAACAAAGGTGTTTATCCCCATATCATTGAACAACACAGTCCCAAATATACTTTGTGTCCTTTGTGAGAGTAAAATATTAACACACCTATTGAAAACGGAAACTCAAAACAATGAGAAAAAAAGAGAGGGAATTGGCACAATTGCAAATTCACCAAATAATCAATGTCAGTAGCCAGAAGTGTAACCATCGCATAAGTTAGGAAAGTAGGTTTTCCTCAAAGGAATCCAACAGAAAACCACAAAATCTCAAATATGATAATATGATCTTGAAATTCTTTCGGTAATTGTGATTGCAAGTTTAAATAAGTTTGAACGGAAAAACAAATGTGTGCAAGTAGATGACTGAACTGTTCAAATTTGATAATGAAACATTGAAAGAGCACTGCTGCCAGAGCAATAAAATTGATGGTCAAAACATAGATCTTAATGCACAAAAGACACCATTGGTGTTTTGTTTTGTTTTTTTTTTTTTACATGTGAAAAACTGCCTACCTCAAGGGGGTCGAAAGAATCGTGAAGCTCATCAACAAAGTCACTCGGATTTTTCCTCAGAGTCTGGTCAGCAGGCAGCGTGTTGTCATTGTAAGATGACACAAACTTAAAGTCACTGGTTCTGGAACCTGTTGTCAAGTAGGCGTCATAATTGTAGGTGCTGCGTAAAGTTCCTGTGCCGTCAACATCTGCGTAATTAGGAGGGAGATACGTGCCGGGGATGGCAACTGCTCCATCAAACAACAGTCTGGGCTTTCTCCTGCGACAAAACCTCACACCCAGGACGATGATGATGAAGGTCAGGAAGAAGGTGGACACGGACACCAGCGCGATGATCAGGTAAGAGGTCAGCTTGGAATTCTTGTCATCATAAGAAATGTCCTTCAGTTCTGGCACCTCGGCCAAGTTATCCGAAATAAGTAAATACATGGAGCAGGTGGCAGAGAGAGGGGGCTGTCCGTTATCTTTCACGGCCACAATCAGGTTCTGCTTCATGCTGTCAGACTCTGAAATGTCCCGCTGGGTCCTGATCTCTCCACTGTGGAGACCAATGGTGAAAAGTCCCGGGTCTGTGGATTTGACAATATGATAGGACAGCCAGGCGTTCTGTCCCGAGTCGGCGTCTACCGCGATCACTTTGGACACCACAGAGCCGCCGTGTGCAGCTTTGGGGACCAGCTCGGTCATGAAGGAGTTTCCCTCCGGGGTGGGGTACAAAATCTGAGGAGAGTTGTCGTTGACATCCGATATGAACACGCTGACGCTCACGTTGCTGCTCAGCGGAGGAGAACCGTTGTCTCGGGCCATGACGTGGACTTGAAAACTCCTCAAGTGTTCGTAATCAAACGACCTGACAGCATGGATCACGCCCGTGTCTCCGTTAACAGACACAAAGGAGGACACCGGGGCACCGTTCACTTCAGCAGGTAAAAGAGAATAAATCACGGTGCCGTTCTGTCTCCAGTCGGGGTCTCGAGCATTAACAGAACATAAAGTGGAGCCAGCTTTGTTATTTTCGCTCACATATGCGCTGTAGGACTGTTCTTCAAACACAGGTGGATTGTCATTGATGTCTGCTACAGTCAAGTGAATACTTTTAGAGGATGACAAAGGAGGAGAGCCCTCGTCAGTGGCGCTGATTGTAATGTTGTAATCAGGCACTCGTTCACGGTCAAGTTGTTCCGTCGTCACCAGAGAATAATAATTTTTAATCGAAGGAACTAGCTTAAAGGGGACATTTTGTTGAATGGAGCAGCGAACCTGCCCGTTCTCCTCTGAATCTCTGTCCTGCACATTAATGATGCCAACCTCAGTTCCAGGAGTCACACTCTCTGCTACAGCATCGGACAGTGATTTTAGTTGTATTACGGGTGTGTTATCATTCACATCAGTGATGTCAATCACTACTTTACAATGTGATGAAAGTCCATAACCATCTTTTGCATCGACCCGCATTTCATATTTGGAATTACTCTCAAAGTCAAGTGGCCCTATTACTTTAATCTCACCAGTTTTACTATTGATCGAGAAAACTTTTTTAGCCTTTTCTGCAATCCGACTAAAATCATAAATAATTTCACCATTGACGCCATCGTCTGCGTCCGTTGCACTCACTGTGACAACAACAGTTTCCAATGCGGCGTTTTCAGCCAGGCTGGCCTTGTAAACATCCTGACCGAACACTGGGGCGTTATCATTTGCATCGAGCACAGTGACGTGAACAAGTGCCGTTCCTGATCTTTTCGGAGAGCCTCCATCAGCGGCAGTGAGCACCAGACTTAAATCATGTTCTGTTTCACGGTCAAGTTCTTTGTCTAACACTAACTCAAGATTCTTTGATCCATCAGAATTTTCACGCACCGATAAAATGAAATGTGCATTGCTTTGCAAGAAATACTGTTGAACAGCATTTTGCCCAATGTCCGCGTCATCTGCTTCATTCACGCGATATCGGGTTCCTTTGACGGCGGATTCCCTTATTTCCAGCTTGATTTCATCTTTTGGAAAGACGGGGGAATTGTCATTCACATCCAAAACGAGGACGGCAATGCGATGCAGCTCCAGCGGGCTTTCTAACACCAATTCATATTTAAGCATACAAGTCAAGGTCTCTCCACACAGCTCCTCTCTGTCGATCCTCTCCCGGGTCACAAAATTACCAGTTTTGACGTTGATGTCGCAGTAACGTACATCTTCATTGACAGTATCAATCCGGGCCTTACGAGAGCTCAATGCCCGTCCTTCTAGTCCGAGGTCCCTGGCAAGATTCCCAACAATGGATCCAGGTCTCATCTCCTCCGGAACAGAATAGCTGAGCTCCGCAATGATGGTGTCGGCACAAAGAACAAAGCCGCATAAAAAGACTCGGAGCAGATGAGCTTGACGAGCCATTTTTTTACTTGCCAAAAAATAAGCAGGATCAATTTTGGTTAGCCGTCCAGGTTAAAACAAAAAGCACAGTCCTTAAAAGAAGTGTATGTAGCTCCCAAAATAAAAACAGGTCTGGTTCGTAATGTCTGAATCACGCCTGCTTCATGTGGAAAAAAAAAAAATACGTAAATCTTCCAGCCTCATATTTACGTGTATAGAGCGACATCTTGAGTCTACTTTGAATATTGCACACTAATAAGAATCCATTGAATAAACGACAGCCATCTCATTTGCTATACAGTCATGTTCTTTTTCTCTCCTGCAACTGGTACCAAATCAAGGCCTGCAACATGAATCAGCACCACGGCCAGAGTTTGTGTTGAGGCAACCAGGACGTTGATTTGATGTGAGAATAAGGAGTTGTGGACGCTTTGCTGGTCTACTAAGAAATCTTCCCAAACCCACTGAATGAAAAACATGCTCACTGACTTAAAAATGAATTTAAAACAACATGTACCTGTGCAGATATAAGACAAGGGTCTCCAATTGAATGGAATTATTAGATGTCTTGTCAAATTATATATTTCAAACAGGGTAAACGAAATCTCTTTGTAGACCAATCGAAAATGCGCTGCAAAAACAAAACAAATGCTACACACACACTTTCAACTGTTTGATGACCAGGAAACAATAAATCAACAAAATGTATGCAGAACTCTTGTTCCGAAAAACTTAAACAAATATTTCAAAGGTGTTTGAGTGGGAAAATTTTACCATATGAAATTAAATTGCATCAATGGTAATAACAAATAAACGTATCTATTTCAAATACACATGCTCATTTGTTATTAAAGACAAGACACGTTCACAATTAGAGTGTATTCATCAAACTGCAGTGAGTAGTGACCATGTTGATTTAGGAGATAGAACAATCTTATTTGGAACATACCACATTTTATTGGGTGATGAATGTTGAATTGTGAAACTTTACTGTACCTCTGGCAAGTCATGCAGCTGATCGAAAACCTCAGCAAAGTCACTTGGACTTTTCTTCAGAGTCTGGTCAGCAGGCAGTGTGTTGTCATTGTAAGAAGACACAAACTTAAAGTCACTGGTTCTGGAGCCTGTTGTCAAGTAGGCGTCATAGTTGTAGGTGCTACTTAAAGTTCCTGTGCCGTCAACATCTGCGTAATTAGGAGGCAGATAAGCGCCCGGAATGGCAACTGCTCCATCAAACAACAGTCTGGGCTTTCTCCTGCCACAAAACCTCACACCCAGGACGATGATGACGAAGGTCAGGAAGAAGGTGGACACGGACACCAGAGCGATGATCAGGTAAGAGGTCAGCTTGGAATTCTTGTCGTCAAAAGAAATGTCCTTCAGTTCCGGTACCTCGGCCAAGTTGTCCGAAATAAGTAAATACATGGAGCAGGTGGCAGAGAGAGGGGGCTGTCCGTTATCTTTCACGGCCACAATCAGGTTCTGTTTCATGCTGTCAGACTCCGAAATGTCCCGCTGGGTCCTGATCTCGCCACTGTGGAGACCAATGGTGAAAAGTCCCGGGTCTGTGGACTTGACAATATGATAGGACAGCCAGGCGTTCTGTCCCGAGTCGGCGTCCACGGCGATCACTTTGGACACCACAGAGCCTCCGTGTGCAGCTTTGGGGACCAGCTCGGTCATGAAGGAGTTGCCCTCCAGGGCGGGGTACAGTATCTGAGGAGCGTTGTCGTTGACGTCCGATATGAACACGCTGACGCTCACATTGCTGCTCAGAGGAGGAGAACCGTTGTCTCGGGCCATGACGTGGACTTGGAAACTCCTCAAGTGTTCATAGTCAAATGACCTGACGGCGTGGATCACCCCCGTGTCTCCGTTAACAGACACATAGGAGGACACCGGGGCACCATTCACTTCAGCAGGTAAAAGAGAATAAATCACGGTGCCGTTCTGTCTCCAGTCGGGGTCTTGAGCACTCACAGAGCATAAAGTGCAGCCAGCTTTGTTGTTTTCACTCACATATGCGCTGTAGGACTGTTCCTCAAACACAGGTGGGTTGTCGTTGATGTCCGCTACAGACAAAAGAACACTTTTTGAAGAGGACAATGGAGGGGAGCCCTCGTCAGTGGCACTGATTGTAATGTTGTAAGCAGACACAAGTTCACGGTCAAGTTGTTCCGTCGTCACCAGAGAATAATAGTTTTTAATAGAAGGAACTAACTTAAAGGGGACGTTTTGTTCAATGGAGCAGCGCACTTGTCCATTCTTTTCAGAGTCTCTGTCCTGCACATTAATGATGCCCACCTCTTGACCGGGTGATATGTTCTCTGGTATTGGATTAGACAGCGAATTTAAATATATTGCAGGGGCATGATCATTTACATCAATAAGATCTATCAGGACCTTTGCATATGAATTTAATCCCAGACCATCCTTTGCTACAACTTTCAGTTCAATTCTACTTTTTTTCTCAAAATCTGTCATGCCAGTCACAATAATTTCGCCTGTTTTATTGTTGATAGAAAATGACTGCAAATCTGACTGTGAAACAAGTCCAAAATCATAACTAACATCGCCATTGATGCCATCGTCTGCATCAGTCGCACTTACTTGAACAACCACAGTATCTAAAGGGGAGTTTTCAGGTAGACTGACTTCATAAACATCCTGACTAAATACAGGGACATTATCATTGGCATCAAGTACAGTGATTTGGAATATTACAGTCCCTGATCGCTGTGGAGAGCCTCCATCCACTGCCTTAAGAAGCAAGCTTATCTGTTGCTGCTTTTCTCGATCGAGTTTGTTCTCTAAAACAAGTTCCACTCTGTTGCCATTTTCCATAAGAATAAAATACTCGTTCTTTTCCAAAATGTATTTTTGAATTGAATTCTGACCGATGTCTGCGTCATGAGCCTCCTCAATTAAAAACGGAGTGCCCTTTTCTGCTGATTCGCGTATTTCCAACACGATTGTTTCCCTTCTAAATTGCGGGGCGTTATCATTTATATCTTGAACGTGTATATTTACACGATGCAGCTGCAGTGGATTCTCGAGCACAAGCTCCTGGGTGACAACACACGACGGTTTTTGGCCGCAAAGGCTCTCTCTATCAAGCCGCTCGGCAACATTCAGATCCCCAGTTGCCAAATTGATGGCACAAAGTCGGTCGTGATTGCCTTCACTAAAGCGAGCTTTGCGTGCTGACAGTGCATTGACACCCAGACCGAGGTCTTTGGCGATGTTTCCAATCACAGTTCCCGGTTTCCTTTCCTCCGGTATGGAATAACTGACCTCGGCAAACACAGGATGAAACACAAGGAGGCAGACGACAAAGCGGGTCACCGGGCCGAGATGTAAATGGACTTCGCCTTTCATCCTTTCAGACGAAAATATAATCCACAACGGAAAACAAATATCCCAGTACAGTATCCCGTTCGAAGTGACAATGCGTTTTCGTCAGAGCCGAAATGTGACAAACGCTCGACGAGAAACCATCACCGTGATTCCGCAGCCACAGGAAAACTGGAAGCACAAAGCGGTGGAACAACGGGTGGAGATGTGCAACGAGTACTGCGCCAAAGCCCGAAAGTTGTTAGACAGCGACACTGCGCGTCCATTTAGAATGGAGCATGCATGGGATGAAATAATGGCGAGAGTGATACTAAATGATTAAAAAATACAAATGAATCCTAAAAGGACAATATTGTATCACAATTGCAGTACAAGAATAAAATCGAAATTCTATTACAACCCACGTCTGATGGAAATGGTTTAAAGCCATCATTGAGAGTAAAAAGTGAGAGGGGGGGGTGTAGAAAATGCAAGTGCCATGAAAATCAGCGTGAATACTTTAAAACGACCGATACGTCAAAACAATCGATTTAAGAAAGACGATAACATATTTTCAAGATATCATCATGTAAACAAAACTTGCTGGTAACTAATGTCTTCACCAGAGAAGAATTCTTTCCCTACTATTACGAATGAAAAGCACACGATCATCGATAACGGAACAAACAAATACAAAAGCATAAGTGAACGAGCACCATCTTTGCTCAATTTGGAGCACCGCCGGCTGGTACGTCAAGTCGTCACTGCGGGAATAAATCGTGAATAACTCAAAACCACGTGGGAAAAGATTATCTTATTTAAAGCACAAATCTGCACGATTTAAATAAGGAGACACGAATGACCCTTTTTTGGGCAACACTTTTCATGACGTCCTCGCCGCAGACTAAAATCTTTCACAACTCAAAAACCGTGAGAGCAAAAGTGAAACCATTTGCATCACAAATGAGCACCGATGAAACACAAACGAATTACAGCATGCTGTAGCACGTGTAGGTGTGAGCCGAGGAGGAAACCATCCCTGCAAGTGCCGTTCGGCAGCCGAAGGAGCAAAGACCTCTGGAGTTTGCAGAAACACTTTCATTCTCAACAAAATATCTGTCTCTCAGCTTCACCACGTTACTTATGAGCACAACGTTTGGGTACAACGAATGAGGCCATGACAAAAAAAAGTGTACTCCGGAACTTTAAGTAAAAGTTGACTGACACAATAAATTAAAGAGGCGTCATCGTGTGGCGTGATACTGAACCATAATAATGGACTGTTAGAACGCTTCCAAACCAGAGCTTTTGATATTTTTTCGATGAAGTCCTTGTAAGAAAATTAAAATATTGATGAACTCAACACGCCTCGTGCTCAACACTGTCATATTTACAGAACAAATCCAGCACAAAAGAATGATACCATTTCACTCATTGGACTTTGTGAGTGGACTTTGTTTGACCTTAAACTTAAAATGGAAAGCAGCACAGATGATATTAACGGCACAAACCAGCACACAAAACCACAAACAACAGAGAGTATTTAACCTGTGTTTTCTGTGGGCTGGGGGCTAACTTCACACATAACCAAAACATATTTCAAGTTCAAATAGACAGGACCAATGAGGGTTTGTGAATAATTGGGAAGAATTCAATCCATAAGTAGAGCTGTCAAAAAATAATCGAGCAAAGTTCAACTTCTCATGGAACTTAAAGGACGTCTATAAAGTAAAAGTATGGATGTGACTTTTTGAGGGCATGAGGCAATCAAGCACAGAGGAGTTCATTTTGCCAACATGTGCAAAAGAGGTGGAAAAACAAGAAAAAGTATTCAGGCCTACGATGAAGCAATTATTTGTATTGTAATGACTTATGTATCATTTGTGTCTAGTCCTAAAATAGCCCATTGGGCAATTAAAAAATACATAATTGGCAATGGGGCGGCACAGTGGTTGACTGGTTAGCAGCCTTCTGTGTGAAGTTAGCATGTTCTTCCCGTGCCTGCGTGGGTTTTAATCCGGTTTCCTCCCACATTCGAAAAACGTGCGTCAGGTTAATGGGACACTCTAAATTGTCCCTAGGTGTGATTGTAAGCATTCATGGTATTCTGTGTATGTGTTCCCTGCTTTTGGCTGGCAACGAGTTCAGGGTGTACGCCGCCTGCTGCCCGAAGACAGCTGGCATAGGCTCCAGCACGTCCCACGAAACTGGTGAGGATAACCAGATTAGTGAATGGGAAAATGGATAGATGGATGGAAAATTGGCAATGGAATCTGGTGTTGAAAAAAATAGAAAACAAGCGTGTTCAGGAGTGGTTCCTTAAAGCTTGTTCACTGTTGAAATGTGTGTTTTTGTTTTCACTGAAGCTTAACAAATAAAATGATTTAAAAAGATTCCTACCTCATCAATGTCACCAAAAGCCTCAAGGAATTCTGTTGGACTTTTCCTCAAAGTCTGGTCAGCTGGCAACGTGTTGTCATTGTAGGAAGACACAAACTTAAAGTCACTGGTTCTGGAACCTGTTGTCAAGTAGGCGTCATAGTTGTAGGTGCTACGTAAAGTTCCTGTGCCGTCAACATCTGCGTAATTAGAAGGCAGATACGCGCCGGGGATGGCAACTGCTCCATCAAACAACAGTCTGGGCTTTCTCCTGCGACAAAACCTCACACCCAGGACGATGATGATGAAGGTCAGGAAGAAGGTGGACACGGACACCAGAGCGATGATCAGGTAAGAGGTCAGCTTGGAATTCTTGTCGTCATAAGAAATGTCCTTCAGTTCCGGCACCTCGGCCAAGTTATCCGAAATAAGTAAATACATGGAGCAGGTGGCAGAGAGAGGGGGCTGTCCGTTATCTTTCACGGCCACAATCAGGTTCTGTTTCATGCTGTCAGACTCCGAAATGTCCCGCTGGGTCCTGATCTCTCCACTGTGGAGACCAATGGTGAAAAGTCCCGGGTCTGTGGACTTGACAATATGATAGGACAGCCAGGCGTTCTGTCCCGAGTCGGCGTCCACCGCGATCACTTTGGACACCACAGAGCCTCCATGTGCAGCTTTGGGGACCAGCTCAGTCATGAAGGAGTTGCCCTCTGGGGCGGGGTACAAAATCTGAGGAGAGTTGTCGTTTACGTCCGATATGAACACGCTGACGCTCATGTTGTTGCTCAGCGGAGGAGAACCGTTATCTCGGGCCATGACGTGGACTTGGAAACTCCTCAAGTGTTCGTAATCAAACGACCTGACAGCGTGGATCACCCCCGTGTCTCCGTTAACAGACACAAAGGAGGACACCGGGGCACCGTTCACTTCAGCAGGTAAAAGAGAATAAATCACGGTGCCGTTCTGTCTCCAGTCGGGGTCTTGAGCACTCACAGAGCATAAAGTGGAGCCAGCTTTGTTATTTTCACTCACATATGCGCTGTAGGACTGTTCCTCAAACACAGGTGGGTTGTCGTTGATGTCCGCTACAGACAAGTGAACACTTTTCGAGGAGGACAAAGGAGGGGAGCCCTTGTCAGTGGCACTGACTGTAATGTTGTAATCAGACACAAGTTCACGGTCAAGTTGTCTAGTGGTCACCAGAGAATAATAGTTTTTAATAGAAGGAACTAACTTAAAAGGGACATTTTGTTGAATGGAGCAATGGACAAGTCCATTTCTCTCAGAGTCTCTGTCCTGTACATTAATGATGCCCACCTCTGCACCTGGTGACACATTTTCTGCTACTGGATTGGTCAGTGACATTAAATTGATCACAGGAGCATTATCATTTACATCGGAAATATCTATTACAACTTTGGCGTAGGAGGTCAGTCCCAAACCGTCTTTAGCTTCCACCTTGATTTCAAAGGAAACCAATTCTTCAAAATCAACCAAACCAGTTACTTTAATTTCCCCAGTTGTGGGATCAATAGCAAATAAATTGTTTTCATCAGATGCATGTCCAAAATCATAACTCACATCTCCATTCACTCCTTCATCAGCATCAGTCGCGCTAACTTTAATCACTATGGTATCTGGAGGAGAGTTTTCAGGCAAACTGGCTTTATAAACGGCCTGGCTGAACACTGGGGCGTTATCATTAGCATCCAGCACGGTGACGCGTATGACTACTGTGCCTGACCTCTGTGGAGAGCCGCCGTCTAAAGCCGTGAGAAGCAAATTCATCTCATTTTGCTTTTCTCGGTCTAATTTATTTTCTAAGACAAGCTCAACTTTATTATTGTCAACAGTGAGAATAAAGTTTTCATTTTTTTGCAGAATATATCGTTGAGCAGCATTTTGGCCTATGTCTGCATCATGAGCCTCCTCAATTGAAAACCGGCTGCCTTTTTCTGCCGACTCCCTTATTTCCATTTCAATCAAATTGTTTTTAAATTTTGGACGGTTGTCATTTACATCTTGAATGTGGAGATTTATGCGATGAAGCTCAAGAGGATTTTCTAACACCAGATCCATTTTAATAATACAGGAAGGTTTCTTCCCGCACAGGCTTTCTCTGTCAATTTTCTCCGATGTGATCAAGTCTCCGGTGCTCAGATTAATCTCACAACACTGCTTACGTGTACCCGCACCGTCAATACGGGCATTTCGTGTAGAAAGCGTCCTCGGATCAGCACCAAGATCTTTGCCTATGTTTCCAACAACCGAAAGGCGTTTCATCTCCTCGGGAAGAGAATAGCTCAGATCTTTGGAGGCGAGTTGCACCGGAACAAAAAAGGCAAAAAGAACGATCAGGCGACGCTTTGAGAATCCAAGATGTCCCATCTTGACTAAATCTGCCCAAAACGGGTCGTACAAAATATTCCACACCGGTCCACGTCCCACAATTTTATGTGTATCGACACGAAAATGTATAATCCAGTTTCCACCACCCGCAGTAGAACAATGCAGTCGCCTCAGAAAGGACGGTTCGCGTTATATGGTTCAACAGCGACACCAAGAGTCGGCACTTATCATTGTCAATCAAAACTCCTCAAGTGTTCGTAATCAAACGACCTGACAGCGTGGATCACCCCCGTGTCTCCGTTAACAGACACAAAGGAGGACACCGGGGCACCGTTCACTTCAGCAGGTAAAAGAGAATAAATCACGGTGCCGTTCTGTCTCCAGTCGGGGTCTTGAGCACTCACAGAGCATAAAGTGGAGCCAGCTTTGTTGTTTTCACTCACATATGCGCTGTAGGACTGTTCCTCAAACACAGGTGGGTTGTCGTTGATGTCCGCTACAGACAAGTGAACACTTTTCGAGGAGGACAAAGGAGGGGAGCCCTTGTCAGTGGCACTGACTGTAATGTTGTAATCAGACACAAGTTCACGGTCAAGTTGTCTAGTGGTCACCAGAGAATAATAGTTTTTAATAGAAGGAACTAACTTAAAAGGGACATTTTGTTGAATGGAGCAATGGACAAGTCCATTTCTCTCAGAGTCTCTGTCCTGTACATTAATGATGCCCACCTCTGCACCTGGTGACACATTTTCTGCTACTGGATTGGTCAGTGACATTAAATTGATCACAGGAGCATTATCATTTACATCGGAAATATCTATTACAACTTTGGCGTAGGAGGTCAGTCCCAAACCGTCTTTAGCTTCCACCTTGATTTCAAAGGAAACCAATTCTTCAAAATCAACCAAACCAGTTACTTTAATTTCCCCAGTTGTGGGATCAATAGCAAATAAATTGTTTTCATCAGATGCATGTCCAAAATCATAACTCACATCTCCATTCACTCCTTCATCAGCATCAGTCGCGCTAACTTTAATCACTATGGTATCTGGAGGAGAGTTTTCAGGCAAACTGGCTTTATAAACGGCCTGGCTGAACACTGGGGCGTTATCATTAGCATCCAGCACGGTGACGCGTATGACTACTGTGCCTGACCTCTGTGGAGAGCCGCCGTCTAAAGCCGTGAGAAGCAAATTCATCTCATTTTGCTTTTCTCGGTCTAATTTATTTTCTAAGACAAGCTCAACTTTATTATTGTCAACAGTGAGAATAAAGTTTTCATTTTTTTGCAGAATATATCGTTGAGCAGCATTTTGGCCTATGTCTGCATCATGAGCCTCCTCAATTGAAAACCGGCTGCCTTTTTCTGCCGACTCCCTTATTTCCATTTCAATCAAATTGTTTTTAAATTTTGGACGGTTGTCATTTACATCTTGAATGTGGAGATTTATGCGATGAAGCTCAAGAGGATTTTCTAACACCAGATCCATTTTAATAATACAGGAAGGTTTCTTCCCGCACAGGCTTTCTCTGTCAATTTTCTCCGATGTGATCAAGTCTCCGGTGCTCAGATTAATCTCACAACACTGCTTACGTGTACCCGCACCGTCAATACGGGCATTTCGTGTAGAAAGCGTCCTCGGATCAGCACCAAGATCTTTGCCTATGTTTCCAACAACCGAAAGGCGTTTCATCTCCTCGGGAAGAGAATAGCTCAGATCTTTGGAGGCGAGTTGCACCGGAACAAAAAAGGCAAAAAGAACGATCAGGCGACGCTTTGAGAATCCAAGATGTCCCATCTTGACTAAATCTGCCCAAAACGGGTCGTACAAAATATTCCACACCGGTCCACGTCCCACAATTTTATGTGTATCGACACGAAAATGTATAATCCAGTTTCCACCACCCGCAGTAGAACAATGCAGTCGCCTCAGAAAGGACGGTTCGCGTTATATGGTTCAACAGCGACACCAAGAGTCGGCACTTATCATTGTCAATCAATTCTATTAAAGTTGAAAATATTAAATGATGTTTTGGGGACAGGAAAGGGAAATCATTTCATTTTTGTACTTGTTAAATGAAAACGTAGCGTTGTGTGTGATATTCCATCAATGCTATTGAGTTATCAATGTCTATTTTGACTCCAGTTGGGGAATAACTATTATTTTCATATCAATGTTTGATGTTATGTGTTCTGATCTATTTTTGTTATTTTATTTATGTTACAGCTGCAGCTATTGTGAAAGCGCTATATGAATAAAGATGTAACGTACTGTATTTTTATTGTTATTATTATGATGATGATTATTATTATTATTATTAATAAACAGCCACTCCCTGTTTTAATAAAACAGCAAGAACAGGCGGGAAACCAGTAATAGCAGTGTGAAAGAAACTACACTACGATATTATTTTTCAGCACCATGGACAGTTGCATCCATTTCTGGAAAGAACGGATGCTTTTCACCAGCAATATAGCAAAACCAAACACAAAAACATCCATCCCTCCATCCATTATCTGATCCACTTATCCTCACAAGGGTCGCGAGTGTGCTGTGCTGGAGCTTATATCTCAGCTGTCTTCGGACAGTTGGTGGGGTATACCCTGAACTGGTTGCCAGCCAATCACAGGGCACACAGAGATTCATCAACCATCCGCGCTCACAATCACATCTACGGACAATGTAGAGTATGAAAACAACCTATCATGCATGTTTTTGGAATGTGGGTGGAGAAAACCCATGCAGGCATGGGAAGTAAATGCAAACTCCACATAGGAATGCCGGGGCCAGAATGGAACCCCGGACATCTGCACTGTGAGGTGAACATGCTAATCAGTCGTCCCCCGTGCTGTCCAACAAATGAACAATTACAATAAAATATCCCCAGAGTGAATAACGCAAAAGGTAGTGGCAGATGGTACTGTAGTGCTCCACTGCCCGGATTTGTGTGCAGGCAGCGTGGGATCGGTTCCCACTCAGTGACGGTGTGCATGTGGGTGTGAATGGTCATTTGTCTCTATGTGTGCCCTGCGACTGACTGGCGACGAGTTCAGGGTGTAGTCTTCCTTCCGTTCTAAGTCAACTGGGATAGGCTCCAGCAACTCCTCGCAACCCAGTTCAGGTTAAACGTTGTTGAAAATGGATGGATAGATGAATAACACAATAGTAGAAAATTGCAACGCTGACTGTACACATCACAGTGGGTGGACAGGCCGCTTCACACCATTCAAAATGAAACTCAGTTTTGAAGATAATTGTTGTTCCAGGAAAACTGACTCCACAAGAAGGAAAAGTAAAGGGAAACTATTTTCATTATTACAATTATTAATTGGAACTAGGCAGGAGAATAATTCCCACATTCCATAGCAATCACTTTCAAGCTACTTCATCAAATGGAAATCAAAACCATACTCAACACTGTCACAGAACAAGGATCCAGATTTCCACAGCTTCAACAAATACAATTCACAAATGAACAAACGATTTCAATATTGTTCTATTTTCTAGATCTCTCACGCACATTATTCGCCAGTAAATGAAACTTATCCCAGCTGCCAATCAACAACCATTCATGATCGCATTCACATGCAGGCCACAAGATTCCACAGCCAAGGAAAAACAATGTCAGTGCAACATTGCTGTGATGTCAGCCTTCCGACACGACTCGTCAAAATAGTTTGAATAACTCAATTGTAACAGAAGTAAAATACAGAGTATGTACAAAATGGACAATGCTAAAAACTTAAACAGTAGCTACAGAAAATAAAATGGATGAAACAGCAGTTTGGGCAGTGAAAAGTCCGAGTTTTGGCTGTGACCAAAAAAGGTTCCTGGTTCAAAACTTGTTTGAGCCTCGGTCATTTAAAGATCAGTGCACTTGAATAGTTAAGTTTCCGTCTGCTGGAATTAAATCCAGTTTTCTGTGAACTGAACACATGCTGAATGCAAAATGGATATTGTGCCCCACAAAAATGTGGTCGCATTTTAATTAATTTAGCATATTTAATTTTGTTTGAAGAAACCTATTTACCAGGTTGATTAAAACAAAATATGTCCGGAATTTAGACAGCAGTGGGGCAGGATCGGAACAATGCAGTGCCAGCCGTGCGTGATTGTTTTCCTGACAGACTGCTGTGACCTCGTCATTCTGGCATGATGCGTTGAACAAGCAGCAACAGATCTCCTGTGCTTATCATTTCTACTGCATTTACAGGACTATTATACTGTTTACACACCTGCCAAACCGAGGCCCGTTATAATAACATTTGGTCAACCATGGGAAAAAAAGTCACACTGACATTTTGTCATGACACATGATAAACATTCGTGGCCATTCAGGCATACTTAACTGATTCTATATGTGACCATTTCCGGAGCAACTTATTGAATCCAGGTTTTACATTGTGAATTTACAGAAGTGGGAGAAAAAGTACAGAATACGTAGATGAGGACAAAACTAATGAAATGGAAAAGTACTGTATTCTAAAATAGAAATGTGATGGCATGAGCAAGACAAAATTAAACCGGCAAAAAAAGATTTGAAACGATCTTAATTTGAAAGAAACCTACCTCTTCAGAGGACTCAAGATATTCAAAAGGATCAGCAAAGTCACTCTGACTTTTCTTCAGAGTCTGGTCAGCAGGCAGCGTGTTGTCATTGTAGGACGAAACAAACTTAAAGTCACTGGTTCTGGAACCTGTTGTCAAGTAGGCGTCATAGTTGTAGGTGCTGCGCAAAGTTCCTGTGCCGTCAACATCTGCGTAATTAGGAGGCAGATAAGCGCCCGGAATGGCAACTGCTCCATCAAACAACAGTCTGGGCTTTCTCCTGCCACAAAACCTCACACCCAGGACGATGATGACGAAGGTCAGGAAGAAGGTGGACACGGACACCAGAGCGATGATCAGGTAAGAGGTCAGCTTGGAATTCTTGTCATCATAAGAAATGTCCTTCAGTTCTGGCACTTCGGCCAGGTTATCCGATATAAGTAAATACATGGAGCAGGTGGCAGAGAGAGGGGGATGCCCGTTATCTTTCACGGCCACAATCAAGTTCTGCTTCATGCTGTCAGACTCCGAAATGTCCCGCTGGGTCCTGATCTCTCCACTGTGGAGACCAATGGTGAAAAGTCCCAGGTCTGTGGATTTGCAGGCGTTCTGTCCCGAGTCGGCGTCCACCGCGATCACTTTGGACACCACAGAGCCTGCGTGTGCAGCTTTGGGGACCAGCTCGGTCATGAAGGAGTTGCCCTCTGGGGCAGGGTACAGTATCTGAGGAGAGTTGTCGTTCACGTCCAATATGAACACGCTGATGCTTACATTGCTGCTCAGCGGAGGAGAACCGTTGTCTCGGGCCATGACGTGGACTTGAAAACTCCTCAAGTGTTCGTAGTCAAACGACCTGACAGCGTGGATCACCCCCGTGTCTCCATTAACAGACACAAAGGAGGACACAGAGGCACCGTTCACTTCAGCAGGTAAAAGAGAATAAATCACGGTGCCGTTCTGTCTCCAGTCGGGGTCTTGAGCACTCAGAGAGCATAAAGTGGATCCAGCTTTGTTATTTTCACTCACATATGCACTGTAGGACTGTTCCTCAAACACAGGTGGGTTGTCGTTGATGTCCGCTACAGACAAGTGAACACTTTTCGAGGAGGACAGAGGAGGAGAACCCTCGTCAATGGCACTGATTGTAATGTTATAATCAGACACTAGTTCACGGTCAAGTTGTGCAGTTGTCACGAGTGAATAATATTTTTTTATCGAAGGAACTAATTTAAAGGGTACATTTTGTTGAATGGAACAGCTGACTTTTCCATTATTTTCAGAGTCTCTGTCCTGCACATTAATGATGCCCACCTCTGTACCAGGTGACACATTCTCTGCAACTGGATTATACAGAGAATTTAAATGAATAATAGGGGCGTTGTCATTTACATCGGTAATATCTATTATTACTGTAGCATAGGATGTGAGTCCTAAACCATCTTTGGCTTGCACTTTCATTTCATAGGAATTGTTCTCTTCAAAATCAGTCTCACCTGAAAGCTTAACTGTGCCAGATTTGGGGTCAATTTTGAAAACCTTTGTGTCATCATTTGATATGTGGCCAAAATTGTAAGTCACGTCCCCATTCACCCCTTCATCAGCATCAGTAGCGCTAACTTTAATCACTAGTGTATCGGGAGGAGAGTTTTCAGGCAAACTGGCTTTATAAACGGCCTGACTGAACACTGGGGCGTTATCATTAGCATCCAGCACGGTGACGTGTATGACGACTGTGCCTGACATCTGTGGAGAGCCGCCATCTAAAGCTGTGAGAAGCAAATTCATCTCACTTTGCTTTTCTCGGTCGAGCTTATTTTCAAGAACGAGTTCAACCTTGTTTTCAACTGCAAGAATAAAATTGTTATTTCTTTGTAGAATGTATCGTTGAACACCATTTTGACCTATATCCGCATCATGGGCCTCCTCGATGGTAAAACGACTGCCCTTTTCTGCCGATTCTCTAATTTCCATCTCAATTAAATGGTCACGGAATTTAGGAGAATTGTCATTTATATCTTGAATATGAAAACTCACACGTTGAAGCTCCAGAGGATTCTCCAAAACTAGATCGAATTTTATGACACATGAAGGTTTCGTTCCACAAATGTTTTCCCTGTCAATCCTCTCTGATGTGATCAGGTCTCCCGTGCTCAGATTAATTCCACAGTAGCGTCTCCGCGCTTCCTCAAAATCAAATCGAGGCTTCCGGGCTGCAAAAGTCACGAGATCGGCTCCAAGATCTTTTGCTATATTTCCGACAACAGAGCCCTGTTTCATCTCCTCTGGAACAGAATAACTCAGATCTCCATAAACGAGAGGCACCATTAAGACGAAAGAAACAAAGCACAGGATTGAAGCAAGCTTGGAAAATCCTTTGTCTCCCATCTTTAAGGACAACACGTCCGATATTTGGTCAAATGGCAGCGCAATTCCAGCTGAAGACACAAGCTAAGTCAATCACCAATTTTGCCACACAACCTGAGATAATACGGGCTGCAAAAAAATATGATTATGGCTGTTTCACTGCCTGCGAACAGTAAATGCAGTCAGATAAGCTTGCAGTAATGGGTGGAGGGCTCCGTCTACGATCTGCGAGCCGAGAGCGACATCATCAGTCCATTTTTTACTCTTACACTTAAGAAATAATCATGCATGCGCTCTTGTTTATATGTGATCTCATCCTAATAACTGAATAAAAGGAGAGATATTTATTGTGTGCAGAAATGAAAATGAAAGGAAAAATATCAGCTCATTGGCATACTATATGTTCCAAATTCAGAATATGGTCCGTAGAAAATAAAAGGAGATTCAGAACCAAAAATAAGAACTTGTTTAAAACCCTGGTAAAACGAACCGTTACATCGAATTAATAAATTGGCTTTTCTTTATTATTTTCTCCAAGCACGTGTGTTTGTATTCGAACACCGTACCATGAGGTCGGTATTAATTTTGCAACCATAAAACATCCGATTCCTAATTATCATCAAAATTCAATAACTGCTGTATCAAACCATCTCTTCAGATTCAGTAACACAATGCGCCAAAGTGTGCCTCTGCAAGACCAATTCAGATGCGGCTATTTGGATTGCAAAGAACATGTTTTGTGCATCCATGACAGTTTCGTTTTTCGTTTATTTAATACGAAATAGATTTTGTCAAAGAATCTGTCTGATGCAAATATGCACACGAGAGGGAAAAACGGAGAAAAGGCTGTATGCATTTGAAAGGTAGCAATAACGTCGGCTGAACCTGTGCATCAAGCACAGCTCCGATCTCATTATTTTAACAATTAAAAAAATGTGACCAAATAAATCAGATTTTATTCGCATTTAAGTAATCGAATTATGCTTATAATGTTGCTCCAGAGATATAAATACATTTAAGCACAAGTCATACACTATAGATCAATCAAAACTCAATGTATAATTTAAAATGGCAAATAAATACTTTCATGTCAATGCGATGGAATTTCGTGTTACAGATGGAAGTTATCGTTTTTTGTGTTTCCACTCCTGCAAAGTGAAACGGACGTAAACAACTCGTACGTGCGGGTACGTCAAGTTCGTGCATATCCTGTCTTCCGTGCACTAAATATTATGATGACGTCTGAAGCCCAAGGGGTGAGACATGTAGGCCCCAGATTAGATTATTAGCGGATTTACAACTTCTTTTCACAACTAAAATCCAATTCACGAGCTCTAGCAGTCACTAATTATATTTACCTTGTCGCATTGCGTCCCTCTGTTGTTTATTCCTGATTCATTCTTGCATTATGATGAGTTAGCGTCGGATTTTTCTCACGGTGTGAGCAAGATCTGCGATCGCGGTGAAGACCCGTCCAAATAGACGCCCAACCCCCAAAAATCGCCCATTCGTTGTTTTTTGCCTGTCATGTCTGTTCTTTTTAAAAAGAGATAGCGGGGAAAAAAGAAAAAAGTAAATTTGTCCTTTGCCTCAAAGTGACTTGGGTATACTGCAAGAAACGTAAAATAAGTAAAAGTTATATCGCCACATGTACAATATTAAGTTGCCAAGAGGAATAATATTGAAGTACTGCGTCTGACATTTGCATATCGTAAATATTCCAAGAAATTGTATGATAATAAGTCAAGGTTACTTAAGCACTTACGTGGAAAGAAAACTTTTTAAGTGAGTTGTTAGACTTTGGTTCATTTGAATATACTTTATTTTTGTTGTATTTGGATTTTTTAAATGTTGTTATGCGATGTCCAGACAAGAGTACACAAAGATCTGAGCGTTGGCTAATGTACAACGATGAGCGGGACATCACTTGACGTAGGCGTCTTGAGGCCTCAGTCCGAAAAGGGTCAAAGCACGCGAGAGGCTACCGGTACGCCCATGAAAAGACTTCCGGTGACACATTGTGTTGCCCTCCCCCAACCGTTCCAAATAACCTTTTCCTCTTTGTTTTCAGTGGTTCAGCCATGACGGTAAGGAACAATTTCTGTTGATAACGAAGATGGCTGGGGAAATGTATCAGAGGAAATATTGGAGTGAAAGTAAAATTGACGGGAAGTAGGCGATCAATGATGATGTGTAAATTGTACTCACGGAATTAAATCGTATTTGTTCTCCTTTGCATTGCAAAACTGGTGAATTAAAGTGTCGTATTTGTCACGTCTGATATTAATTTGTTCTGAAAAGGTGTATTGTTTTGACAAGACCCATACCTGTCAACTTTTCGGAGCGCCAACCTGTATAAACTACCAAAAAAAATCCTTATAAAGAGCAAAAAATCCTTATAACATACCAAAGCATTTTATATGTCAAAATAACGCCAGAAAAAAACCCACGAAATATGAATGATATATTTGTTTCCTTTGTAGAACTTGCTTGTACACTACCGAAGTATGCAATGAATACTCAGCTGTTTTCAACTAGGAACCACGTGATTTACTAGAAAGTTACCGGAAATGAAAGCATTCGAGTAGACTAGCACCATTCTGGGCAAAAGCAAACGGAACTACCTGTTAGAGGGAAAAAAACCCCCAAAAAAACCCGGGAAATTTTCAGAATCCGTATTATTTGTGCGATATGGCCATATACGTAAGATTCACCACAAAATCCGTATGAACTATGGCTAAACCGTATGAGTTGACAGGTATGAAGACCCAGCAGGCAAGAATTACCGTCACCTTTCGAGACAAGTTGTGAATTTGTCCTACCTCTGACGGGGTTCCCATATCTTCAAAAGGATCAGCAAACTCACTTGGACTTTTCCTCAGAGTCTGGTCAGCAGGCAGCGTGTTGTCATTGTAGGACGAAACAAACTTAAAGTCACTGGTTCTGGAACCTGTTGTCAAGTAGGCGTCATAATTGTAGGTGCTGCGCAAAGTTCCTGTGCCGTCAACATCTGCATAATTAGGAGGCAGATATGCGCCGGGGATGGTGACTGCTCCATCAAACAACAGTCTGGGCTTTCTCCTGCGACAAAACCTAACACCCAGGACGATGATGATGAAGGTCAGGAAGAAGGTGGACACGGACACCAGAGCGATGATCAGGTAAGAGGTCAGCTTGGAATTCTTGTCGTCATAAGAAATGTCCTTCAGTTCTGGCACTTCGGCCAAGTTGTCCGAAATAAGTAAATACATGGAGCAGGTGGCAGAGAGAGGGGGCTGTCCGTTATCTTTCACGGCCACAATCAGGTTCTGTTTCATGCTGTCAGACTCCGAAATGTCCCGCTGGGTCCTGATCTCTCCACTGTGGAGACCAATGGTGAAAAGTCCCGGGTCTGTGGACTTGACAATATGATAGGACAGCCAGGCGTTCTGTCCCGAGTCGGCGTCCACCGCGATCACTTTGGACACCACAGAGCCTCCGTGTGCAGCTTTGGGGACCAGCTCGGTCATGAAGGAGTTGCCCTCTGGGGCAGGGTACAGTATCTGAGGAGAGTTGTCATTTAGGTCCGATATGAACACGCTGACACTGACGTTGCTGCTTAGGGGAGGAGAACCGTTGTCTCGGGCCATGACGTGGACTTGGAAACTCCTCAAGTGTTCGTAATCAAACGACCTGACAGCGTGGATCACCCCCGTGTCTCCATTAACAGACACATAGGAGGACACAGAGGCACCGTTCACCTCGGAAGGTAACAGAGAATAAATCACGGTGCCGTTCTGTCTCCAGTCGGGGTCTTGTGCACTAACAGAGCATAAAGTGGAGCCAGCTTTGTTATTTTCGTTCACATATGCGCTGTAGGACTGCTCCTCAAATACAGGTGGGTTGTCGTTGATGTCTGCTACAGACAAGTGAAGACTTTTTGAGGAGGACTGAGGAGGAGAACCCTCGTCCATGGCACTGATTGTAATGTTGTAATCAGGCACTCTTTCACGGTCAAGTTGTTCCATCGTCACCAGAGAATAATAGTTTTTAATAGAAGGAACTAATTTAAAAGGGACATTTTGTGGAATGGAGCAGCGCACCTGTCCATTTTTCCCAGAATCTCTGTCCTGCACGTTAATAATGCCCACCTCTGTACCAGGTGACACATTCTCTGACACAGTGTTGGACAGTGACTTCAAATTAATTTCAGGAGCATTATCATTTACATCAGTAACATCTATTATGATTTTACTGTAGGATGTCAGTCCCAAACCATCTTTCGCTTCAACACTCATTTCATATGAACTTTTCTCTTCAAAATCAATTAAACGTGTTACTGTAATAACACCTGTTGCCGGCTCAATAGAAAATGCATTAACATTATCATCTGAGACATGGCCAAAGTCATATGTCACATCGCCATTCACGCCTTCATCTGCATCTGTAGCACTAACATTGATCACTATTGTATCTGGAGGAGAGTTTTCAGGCAGACTGGCTTTATAAACGGCCTTGCTGAACACTGGGGCGTTATCATTAGCATCCAGCACGGTGACGTGTATGACTACTGTGCCCGATCTTTGAGGAGAGCCGCCATCTAAAGCTGTGAGGAGCAAATTCATCTTACTTTGCTTTTCTCGGTCGAGCTTATTTTCTAGAACAAGCTCGACTTTGTTGTTGTCAACAGCAAGAATAAAATTTGCATTTCTTTGTAGATTGTATCTTTGAATGGCATTTTGGCCAATATCTGCATCATGGGCCTTTTCTATGGAAAAACGACTGCCCTTTTCTGCTGACTCACTTATTTCCATCTCAATCAAATTCTTTTTGAATTTTGGATAGTTGTCATTTACATCTTGAATGTGGAGATTTATGCGATGAAGCTCAAGAGGATTTTCCAACACCAGGTCCAGTTTTATCACACATGAGGGTTTTTTGTCACAAAGGCTTTCTCTGTCGATTCTCTCCGCTGTGATCAAGTCCCCCGTGCTCAGATTAATCTCACAATACTGCTTACGTGTCCCTTCAACATCAATCCGGGCATTTCGAGCAGACAATGTTCTCGGGTCAACACCAAGATCTTTTGCTATATTTCCAACAACAGACGAGCGTTTCATCTCCTCCGAAAGAGAATAGCTCAGATCTCCGTACACGAGGCGCATCTGAGCAACGACGACAAAAACATACATCAGACGGCAAAGAGAGAATTCCTCGACTCCCATGTTGACAGAAATAATCCAAAGTGTGTTGAATCTCCCAGTCAGACGATCCAATGCTCCACACGATTTCCAATTCGACGCTGGTCGACGCAAACAAATTGACAAGGTTCCAACCATCCGCAGAAAGACAAAGCAACTGGAATCCGTGCAACGACAGACAGACCGTATGCGGGTTTGCGTTATACAAGCCAACAGCGACGCCAAGAGTCCATTTGTAGGAACAGCGCTAAATGCAAAAAACATAAAAAAAATACTGACATTCTCAGATATGTTTCTTTCAGGCCTTTTTGCCATGCGCATTACACACTGACAAACTGGAAAATACCAACGAATGTGACTATTTCCCAGCATCTTTTTAGTCAAACTAGTTTTGTGTTCAACTTTGGAAATAATACACGAAAGTGTAGCCATTTTAAATTAATTTTCATGGATTAATAAACGATTCTGCAACTGTTTCAGTCGTGCATATCTCATCGCGTGTGATATAAAACAGTGTCGAAACATCAAGGTTGAGTACTTTCTCTATAATGTGGATAAAACAATCGAATTAAATAAAAATGCACTGTGGTCAAATCTGTTGCGATTCTGTAGCATGTGTGAAAACAAAAGTGAAGTCGCGTTTCGTCAGCTGAAGTTGGGTCTTTCAGCACCATGGACAGGTATCGAATGTTCGAGTCAGGCTGGAGTGCATTCATGAGCACAAGGGCTCTCAGTCTTTGCACCTTGAGACCGACTTTGTCCTGTGGTCATTTAGTTATCAGAACGCAAACAATAAAGTACCCTTATAATAATAAAAATAATTATACGAAAACACTCGTATGTCTTGTTTTTAAAAACGTGCAAATTGTATTTCAAAGTTAGAATTGGAAAAAAAAGAACGCGAATCAGCTTTGTGCAAAATAGGCCATACAATTAGGGAACTATGTTCTATTTCTGCATTTACACCACACACGTTGAAAAAAACCGCAACATAAATAAAAATAAAATACATTCAAAATAAATAAGAGATGCTCAGACTGTACGAAATGAACACCGTGACAAAATTCGACACTGCTGTGTGCAGCGTGAGGAGGAAAGTAAAATGAATTGCCCACTTCGCCACTTGTCTCAAATTGGGAGTTCTGTTCCTTTTTAGATATCCAAAGCTCACGTTTATCGCGGTTTGCCATCTTGCCGAACTGAAGCGGAACAAATTTGAGAAAAAAACGTTGCATGTATCCTGCATTTGCCTTTCACAGAAAACATTAATCAGAATTAACATGCATGGCAAAGTCTCTCTCTTGCTCGGTCTCCCGCTTACTCTTTTTTTGTCTCAAGAAACAAGTCAAATGGAATGACTTGATTGCAAACATGCATCCTTGAACTATAGGGCAGAGTGATGTGTAGTAACGTATAACGCAGGAACGCATGCAGTGTACGTTTATTGTAAATATAATCCATTATAGGTGTTGAGATAGGGACAATACTTGTTTATTTAGAAAAAGGTCCATTATATTAATCATTTTGTAGAATGTTTATATTTGATATTTCCTTCGAGACGTCTTTTTACAGATCATGGGAATAATATGGAAGTTGAACACCAAATAAGAAGAAATAAATAAAGAGGGATATGAACAAAGGAAAAATAAATGAATTTGAATGACTGAATTCACTAATTCATTGATGACAATTTGAGGGGAGCGGGACTCTTACCTCTACAGTTGCGTCGAGATCTTCAAAAGGATCAGCAAAGTCACTTGAACTTTTCCTCAGAGTCTGGTCAGCTGGTAGCGTGTTGTCATTGTAGGACGAAACAAACTTAAAGTCACTGGTTCTGGAACCTGTTGTCAAGTAGGCGTCATAGTTGTAGGTGCTGCGTAAAGTTCCTGTGCCGTCAACATCTGCGTAATTAGGAGGCAGATACGCGCCGGGGATGGCAACTGCTCCATCAAACAACAGTCTGGGCTTTCTCCTGCGACAAAACCTCACACCCAGGACGATGATGATGAAGGTCAGGAAGAAGGTGGACACGGACACCAGCGCGATGATCAGGTAAGAGGTCAGCTTGGAATTCTTGTCGTCATAAGAAATGTCCTTCAGTTCCGGTACCTCGGCCAAGTTGTCCGAAATAAGTAAATACATGGAGCAGGTGGCAGAGAGAGGGGGCTGTCCGTTATCTTTCACGGCCACAATCAGGTTCTGTTTCATGCTGTCAGACTCCGAAATGTCCCGCTGGGTCCTGATCTCGCCACTGTGGAGACCAATGGTGAAAAGTCCCGGGTCTGTGGACTTGACAATATGATAGGACAGCCAGGCGTTCTGTCCCGAGTCGGCATCCACCGCGATCACTTTGGACACCACAGAGCCTCCATGTGCAGCTTTGGGGACCAGCTCGGTCATGAAGGAGTTGCCATCCGGGGCGGGGTACAAAATCTGAGGAGAGTTGTCATTCATGTCCGATATGAAAACGTTGATGGTCACATTGCTGCTCAGCGGAGGAGAACCGTTGTCTCGGGCC